CCCCCCCCCCCCCCCCCCAAAAAAAAAGCATCGAGCATCCTTGAAGGCTTGTGGACCGTCCTAGAAAACTACTTCACCGTCCTATGCGGCTGTCTCCCCCAGCTGGGCCCTTTATTCAAAAGGTCAACAAAAGAAAAAGAAATGAGCACCGGCCAGGGCAGCGGCTATCTGGGGTCGTACGACCCGTCCAAGAACATCCGGTCTTGGGGCTTCCAGAAGATGAGCGCCATCGAGACGTCTGTTTGCGGCGCACATGACGCCCCTGTCCAGGCGCGGTACAACGGTTCCAAGGAGCGGCATAATTCGTCCGAGGTTGAACTCAAGGGCATTGAGGTCCAGACGACGATCAATCAGGAGATATCTATAGGCACAAGGAGCGACAACGAGTTTCACATACCCTTGGACGGGCGGCGATGAAGACTGTTTGTTTCAGGGCAGCTTGGGTTTTGCTTCATGGAGTCTTGGGATGATTGGCACGGCGTCGGTTGGGAGGGAAAGAAATTGCTCAGATAGATACCCCAGTTGGGGTCGTAGACGCAGATTACACCAAATACCCAGCACCGAATCGTGTAAGATTATTAGAGAGTTCTATGTGATGAACTGATGTTTGTTTCTCAACACGGTCCGGCAAGACATGTATGTATGTATTCAGATAGACGATTTCTGCAGCATGTGTTCCACCTCTCCGGCCTCCTTCATAACCTCTCTAGCAGAGGCTTTTGCCGCCTCGCTCGGCTCCTCGTAGGGGTGCCTGGGGCGGAACTTGGCCTCGGCGTCCTGGATGCCCGCCAGCCGGGCAGAGAACAGGGTGGCGGCAAACTTGGTCGTTGCGATACCGCTCTTGCACGGGCTCTCCGCCAGAGCCGCCAGGCGCTGCAGCTCCGTGGCCCTCTGGCGAGAGCCCTCGGTGTAGAGCCTGTATATCTCGGCCGTCAACCTGGGGCACACGTTTGCAAAGGCGGCGATGCACCCGGCACTCCCGGCAGCCAGCCCTCCGATCAGAAAGTCGGACTGGCCGCCGAATATCGAAAAGTCCTCGGGCCTGTGCTGCGCCGCGAGGCGGGTGATCTTGCCGACGGAGCCGCAGGTAAGCTTTACGCCGACGACCCTCGAGACGCCCTGGTTGCACCGGGCACTGTCGCGGACAATGGCCGTGATGGTGTCGGAGTCTATGTCCACGCCGTTGCAGACGCCGGGGAAGTTGTAGATGACGACGGGCAGGGCGGCCTCGGCGGCGACCTTTGCGAAGAAGCGCCTCACCGTGGCCATGGTGGTGGCCTTGCCAAAGTACGCGGGCGGGAGCACCAGCAGGTAGTCGGCGCCGGCTTTGGCCGCGTCGTCGGCGAGCTGGAGAGTCTGCTTGGTCGAATGGGCGCCGACGCCGGCCATGAGAGGGAAGGCGGGCCCGACGGCCTGGCGGGCGGTGGCGATGAGCTGCGACCGCTCTTCTCGCGTGAGCAGCATGGCTTCCGAGTTTGTGCCCATCACGACCAGGCCCGCCAGCCCGGACCTGGACAGGTGCGCAAAGTACTTGGACTGCGCGTCGAGATCGAGGCCGTCGTCGTCGGTGAAGCAGGTGACGGCCGGACACCAAACGCCGGCGGGAGGCACGGCGGGGTGAGTCGTCGCCGCCGATGGCACTTGATTGACGGCCATGCTAACGATTATGTCTGCCGGTTGGATATCAGATGCAGGCGTGCTTTGCAGAGAAACGTGGGATTTCCTGTGCGGTTTGGTGTTTGATGCTGTTTCCGTGGGAAAGCTTGCCACACGTGCGGGTGGCGGACCGGCATCGAAGCCGATGTGTCGGGAAGACTTCCGGTGCATCTCCGCCTTGACTGAGGGAATCCGCACACGAAATTCCATGTCGGCTTACATCTTGCATTCAATGCCCTGCGCCCTGGGGTCCTGCAGCGATGCCCAACTACACACCGAGACCGGACAAACCCGCGGGCACACTGAAAGGGGGCTATGATCTGTCTGTACTGGGGGATATGGGGTGCTTCTACGGAGTATTTCTTTTTTTGAAGCTACCCGGCTGAGCTAACCGTCTATCCGCTTTACATTGTTCAACTCGTACAACATTTATGATGTCAAGTTTCTTTCAATTAGACCCGGGCTTCTCTTGTGGCCCAAACTGTGAAGCTCGGATGCTAACGCGGCCATGGTCGGTTCAGGGCCTGGTCCACGAAACCGACAAAGAATTAGACGGACCGTTGGCGGTAGAATTCGGCTGTAAAAAATAATAGGGATATTACTCCGTAGTCTGTATCCTCCTTCATCCTTGTTGGTGCCTTTTTTCTTTTACCCCTCTAAATAATTACAATAGGGCTAGGGTTATAAGATGAATAGAAATTTGGCAGACTAATTGGAATTTAATTGAAAAGCGTCTTTTAGGCTGATTCAATTTAAAACGAAATCCACGCCGGCAGACTTTTAATTGTTCTCAGCATCTAAGCCTTTAATGTTTTTTACCCGCATTTACGCGGTCTGCAAGGGGGGGCCCTTGAAATACGATGACATAATTTTATACAAAGTGGAGACATCATTCTATGCTTGCTGCCTAACCCGTGCCTGCTGCTGTGATCAGGGGTCCGCTGCAAACGCTGCATATTTCGCACGGCTACTCGGTACACCTCACGCCATTTTGGACTTGATCCATCATAGCAACTGGTCGTAGCAAGCCGATGAGTTGCCACTGAAGACGGCCAAATACCACCAGCTGAAAGACATAATGGCCGACCCGCGGATTACGGCCATCGACAAGGCCGTCAGATAGTGAGCACCGTTTGCCGAGAATGAAGTCCTTGAGTCATCTAATTTGACATAGGGCTTTTGACAGTGATGCCCTGGCGGATGTCACAATTCAGCTTGGCGACGTCCAACTTCCCGCGCATAGCCTCGTGCTAACGGCCCAAAGCAGCTACTTTAAACGTGCTCTACAAGGCGAGATGCAAGAGGGCAAGACCAGAAAGTTCGAGTACAGCCAAGGCAGCATGCAGGCGTACTGGCGGGCCTTTGAATACATGTACACGGGAAAGTACTCCGAAGAGCCGTGCATGAAGCTAAACGATACAGGTACGTCGGACACTCGCCAACCACGGGACGTGGCGTGGGCTGCTGATCGACCTAGATGACGACGAGCTCTCCAAGGACGTTCGAGTGTATCAGCTGGCCGATTACTTTGGAGTGGACGGCCTTAAAGACGATGCTCTGCAGAAGTTCAAGGCGAAAATCACCAAGCTATGGGTTACCGAGCTGTTTGTTGATTGTATAAGAGATGTTTACCAATCTACAAGCGATGAAAAGTGCAAAATGAGGCAGGCTGTTGTTGATGTCGTAAACCAACATCGGTCTGAGTTGTGGCAAAGAAGGCCTTTCAAAGACCTTGTCCGTGAGGGTGGTGACTTTGCGGTGGACTTGATGAGTAAACTCTTGGTTGAAGATGAGGAGAAAACGGTTGTGTGACTTGCGTGACGGCTTTTCTACACACGTAAAGTCGTGGAAAGTCGGGATCCATTTGATCGTAGACACATATTTTCTCTAGAAGGCGGCCTTGCGCCAACTTGTTAAATTAGACAGGCTTCACCCTTCATAACAGTCTTACAAGGCCGTTTAAATTTAATCGGCCTCGCGAGAGCCTGCGCCATACGGGAGGGCACCTACGCCGCCCTTATTGTTTACCTAGCGGAGGACGAGATTTCTGGCGAATGCGAAGTCGATTACTGTTACATGTGTTTTGGAAGCATTTAATAATTCCCTTGAGATTAGTTTACTGCTTACTTGAAGCATTTATGGTGACGGAGACTCGAGTAGTGTGGTGACTTACACGTACGGCATCGTGTACAATCAACCGTGTTGTTGTGTTGCTTTGCCAACAAACTGCCACGGGAACTACCCGTTTGGTTTGGTCATCTGATATCCCGCGTTTACTTAGGACAGAAACGTCATGTGACAGAGTATAAACCTGAATACTGTTGAGACTTCAGACAGTGGCGCAACCCCGCTCAAACGTGAATTGTGAATCCCTTGATCCAACTACCCGTCAGCAACCAAGTGGACGAGCCACTTCACATAACCCTTGAAGGTTTGAGGATTCGTGGTTGAACATGGTTCACGCGCCTTGCGAAGCCAGGCTACAGATTTCAGAGTGAGCGCATCGGTGCTTGACCAATGCAACACAGACCTCTGACTCTTTCTCCGCAGAGCTCGTAGGTCAGGGCAATTCTCCGACCTCACATTTGTATGCGGAGGCCAACAAATCCCTGCACACAGGATTATAGTGTGTCCGCAGTCTCCGGTTATCCATGCCGCATGCATTGGTCCTTATAGAGTAAGTACGCGGAGTTGAATACTTTGATGCTTGCTCTTCTCACACACACGGCGCATCTAGGAGCAGGAAACGGGTATATACGAGATCAAAGACGTCTCATTCGACATTGTCCGACAAATGGTGGAGTACTTGTACACAGGTCAATATGAAGTGCCGTCGCCTCAAGAGCCTGATGACGAGGAGAAGCGCGACGCCATTTCGCCGCTGGTATTTCATGCAAGAATGTTTGATATCGCAGATACATACCTCATCAAGGGGCTGCAATCGCTCTCCATGGCCAATTTCAAGGAATCTGTCAGGCGTGACCTGGACAACTGTGCGTTCTTGCGATCCATAGTCGACATCTACTCTTTGCAATGCGAGTCTAGCAAAATACTTCGAGATATAGTGGTTGAATCTGTCAGAGAACGGACCGTCCGCCACTTGGATTCTAGCGCAGAAGAAGTCTTTGATGAAATAACGGACCAGATTCCAAATTTCACCAAAGATATTCTCAGTTCAGTCTTGCATGAGCCAATTTTAGGTCGTTGTTCTCATTGTGGATACGATAAGCTGGTCCCGGTGGTTCCTTTGCAGTGCAGGTGCAAAGCTTGTGGGAAAGGAGGTGCATCAAGTTTGTGAGAGCGGTAATACGGTTTCTTCTGAGCTACAACGACAACGGAAACAACCTGGAAAAAGTATCAAGAGCATCGCAGGTGGCAGGTCCGGACATAATCTCGTGTAATCGCACACAATGCTTCTCATGAACTGGGAGATATGACAACACACGTAACTAGAACAACATCTTTGCCAACCTTTGCGTAAATGTTACTTTGGACAGGAACTATTGGAAAAGGCCCTGAAATATCCTCATGTAATCTCTCACAATGCTCCTCATGGACTGGTGGAGATGACATATGTGACTAGAACAACCAGACGTATTGGCCAATCTTTGTATAAATGTTTCTTTGAACAGCAAATATCGGGAAAATATGCCTTGCTTCAATGCTAATACTGCGGACCGAAGAAATAAACTAGAGCCATTGCAACAGAAATACTACCAACGGAATCCCCATAGAGAATACGCACGACACTACCAAGTTCATGGCTAATGCTGTGCTAAGCGACGCAACAGATGTCACTATTGCTGGCCGTGAAGTGGCCTGGGCACCATTTAAGTCAGAATCTCTCGCCTGACTAGCTTCACCAGCACAAGCCGATGTACTATTCCTAGCCGGACACGTCTGCGCATCGCCCTCCTGGCCACAAGTGATTTTAGGGTACCTCTTCTTAGACACGAGAATGACATACTGTCCGTCCACGGCGGTCAAGCCTCTCACCTCGACTAGGCGCTTTGCTTTGATGTATTCCTGCTTCTTGACAGGCTCGAAGCAGGCTGTTGCTGGAGCATTCAATTCTCTCCTTGCGACGAGCAGGTTGAGGTGCTCCTCCTCATGCCCACGGGTCTTTTCCTCAAACATCTCCCTGTTGACTGGAGCGAAAAAGTATCAGCCACGGCATAGAAGAACACAGGCCACCATGCTTACCGGGAAAGTGTGCGTCAACAGACAAGCCGTCGCCGGAGGATGCCGTGGAATTTATCGCCCAAGCAAAGGAATCTGGACGGGCGTGCTGGCGTTAGGAACCGTGTTACACTTATAATCTGAGGATTTTCAAGCAATAGGAGAATGAATTACTTAGCGGTATGGCGTGATCTGGTATGGCCTTGTCATTCACGCCAAATGGTATGTCGACATTGAGGGCAAAGGGCTTCGCCGATTGAACCCTGAACCGCAGCCCGTCGACAAACTCGGCTTCTTGAACCCCTTCAGCACCCCCGGTGATATTCACCGTCCTGGTGGCGCCTTGGCCGTACTGCACGAACATGTTTGCAGTGTCTGCAGACTTTCGGCCGAGAAGCATGTACTCCCCGTCTAGCGAAGTCATCTTGATAATGCGGGTTTTGTTCTCCGTCCTGTTAAAGGTATGTCAGTTGTAATGCGGATTGAGGAAGACTATTTCACGGCATTGACGGTGCTTACATGTGTACATTCCTCTGTGTTTCTGATATAACCCAGGACTTCTTGTCCTTGGCAAGCTTTCCGACATATGTGTTGGCCACTTGGACGCCTTGGCTCGCGAGCGCCACCGGGTCGTAGGGCAGCTCAATCTTGGCAATGAGGTCGTTTGCAGTCTCGTTAAACTTGATGACCCAGCTGTATTTTGACAAATTGACAAAGCCCTCGCCGGTGGTACCACTGACAAAGTTCCCGGGCAGGGGGGAGGAATTATTTGTCACAACCAGGGTGCGGTTGCTCGGCGAGAACAGATCCAGAGCCAGCCCGTCGACAAAGTCTTGGTCAGTTCGTGCCATCTACATTTGTGAGTCGGATGGTTGCTTACTCAGGGCGGTGTGGCTCTTCTCACCTGCCCAAGAACGGGGACGACATCGCCAAACTTTGCCAGTGCATCCTCAGCTTCGGCGTTGGTCACGAGCGTCAGCGTGACATAGAGGAGCCCGCAAAGGCTTGATTTGCGCAATGAGAGTTTGCCCACCATGGTAGTGATGCTACAGGTCGAGGCTGTCTGACAACAATCTGTAGGTCCTTATGGATGGTTCGGATCTACGCAACATGTTTGGTGCTATTGAGACTTCGGCCCCATGCTTTTAGCTTCTAATAAGTAATAGTGAGGTCGTTATCGTGACCCTTCCTTTGCGCTTCATGTTCTTATTTTAGAACTGCACCTTCGACGCCACACTCTCAACAGTCAATCTAGAACTTCCCCGGATCACGGCTGCAAGTGCACAAAACCGCCACCTGTCTAGAGATGCGCACCTGAGGTTAGAAAATGTGTAAGCGTACATTCATGAATAACGGAAAATGGTGTTTTCGGCAATCCGGCACCACGTAAAACAGATGCATGAGCTGAATGGCGATCAACCGTGCAAGGGTGCCCAGTCCAGCAAGGACGTCTCAAGGATGCCATAGACACCGAGGGCACGGATGTTAGCGGTTCAGATCCAAGGTCGGCAGGGCGCCCGTGGTGGTTCGTCCATTTTTGAAACATTGTCGAAACCGAGGTTCGTTGAAGATTACAATTCCAACTTCCCTCATTGGACAAACTTGTATCAAATGGGCATGCCGGTGAAACCTATTCCCAAAGCCTAATTACACTTTTCAGAAGTCGTAATTGACATATTGACAGCAAAAGCGATAGTTGCCATTTGTATACTTTCTACAAGATTGGTATTGTATATAATTTAAAGTTGAGAGTCTATATTTTTCGGGTCAGGCCGTTACCAGAAAGAGGCCCCTTTCTACATCTTGGAAGAGATTCGACTCCTTCTCAGTCGCTCATTCCGCCACTGCATGCCCCAAATCCACTCTATGTACAAAAGAACTCCTATCCCTACAGTGAGAATACCCAAGCCCAGGAATGTGGCAGCGGCCCCCAAGGTGCCCAGCATGGAATCTACCAGCCCAACTCCAAGCGCGCCCATCCCACAGCGGACTAAATTGTTGATTGCCGTGGCGCTTGCGCCCATGCCCGGACACAGATCCGCAACTAGAGTCGTATTAATGGCAAAGACGGCATTCGACGTAGCGGCGATCAAGAACTGCAGGGCGAGGGGCACGGCAATCCATCCCGGCCGCGCAACAATAGAAAGCTGAGCGGCTGGAAGCACCGTGAATCCGTAGAGCGCAGTGGCGACGATGAACAGGGCAGATATCCACGGCGCGTGGCGAAGCCGGGCATGCTCGATTGGGAAATTTGCCGGCAAATCTTTCTTGTTTCTCGAGGGGGGCGTGGCAGAAGGGTGCCTTTGAAGGTAAATCCTCTCGGATCTCACGAATTCCCTCGTCATGAGTCTGCCGGCAACGGCAGAGCCAACGATGGTGCCCAGACCTGGCGGAAACACGTGTTAGCATGACAATCTGCTTCATTTGCCTCGACCAAGAACCCTGACGGGAGCTGAAGAGAGACAAAGATTCAGGTTGGAATGACGGAAGAAGAAGAAAAAGTACCGTTGGGTAAGAAGACTAGACCAAGAAGAAGGTCGCTCAGTTGAAAGAGGTCTTTGAATAGCCCTGTTGTGCTGGCAACAACCATACTCCATACGGTGTACACGGTTCCCCCAAATACCAAGCTAACCAGTATATCCTTCTCCCCAAGGAGCGTGAGGGGCTTGAGAAACGTCGCAATAGTCACTTTGGGGCGAGGGGCCGTGTAGTCAGGTTCCTCCTTGTAGTGTTTTTCTTTGAAGAAGCGAAGAATTAGCGGTTGGTGGATGCCTGAGAGTCGCAGCGAGCCGTTGCCAGCAATTGTCCGAAGCGTCTCCGGGAGAAAGACGGCGATTGTTGCAAGGACAATGGAGGACATGACGAGTAGAAAGACAAACACGGAGCTGAGCGTATTAGCGGACTGCGTTGCGTGTATCTTTGAGTCAAAGCCATCATCTCACCGGAAACCAAGAAAGTTGGACAGCAATCCTCCAATGACGGGCCCAACGGCAATGCTAAAATTGCGGACTGGACAACTGCGTCAGTGTCATGGCATTTTGACCGAATGTCAACCATGGGGGCAGCATACTTGCTTGGTAAAAACTGATAAATGCCCCCCGCTCGTCCGGGGAGGCAATGTCTTGAATAACGCCATTTCCTAAGCGAATACTGGTTAGGTCTTGGTACTAGGGGGGTTTTGGAGGGCGTCAACGCTTACCAATGCTAACTGTCGATGCACTTCCAGCTGCTTGCATTCCCCTAAAGACCAGGAGTACGGGAAAGTTGGGCGACAGACTAAGCACAATGTTGGCCACGATGTAAACCGAGAAGGAGTATATGTATATCGGCCGACGGCCCAAGGTGTCGGACAGGGAACCCCAAAATAAAGGAGAAACGCCTTGGACAATGAGATACGAGGTGATGGTTAATGAGACATCGCTGAGGCTGACTTTCAGGTCCTTGATTCTCTGTCAGTGTTTGAAAAGTACCGCTGCAAGGAGACTAAATCGCACAATACCTTGGCAATGGCAGACAGTGACGGCAAGTATATGTTTGACGATAGGCCGGAAAATAGACCGGCAACTCCGATGGTGATGATGATGAACCACTTCCTCTGCTTGGAGAAGACGTGAAACGGAGGGTCAATTTCTTCCTCTAGCAAGTCGTTTTCGCCCTCTGACAATGCCTCAAGTTGGTCATGTTGCACGGCGCTTGCGTCTTTCGTCACTGTCACATACGTCGGTCCGTCTGGCCACAAGCCTGCTTGACCATGGTGATTCAAAGCGTCGCCCTTTTCGCCGACAAAAGATCTATTGGCCGACTTCAGCTGTATCCTGGTCTGTCGTGTACGAGTTACTCTATCGTCTTGGAGTGGCCAGTCCGGGCCATGGGCGGGATTTGACACGATGGCAGCGACAGTCGAACCGGGAGCAACGAACAGCCCATCTTGCACTTCGCGCCATCCCTCGAGAGTAGTGAACCTTCTGGATGCTCGGGTGCGGTCGTTCTTTGCGTCCTCGGGACGGTCCATGGATTTCACTCACGGCTTGTCATGGGCGGAAGTTGGGAGCGGTAGGAAAACGATGGCTTCGGAATGGCCAAGCTTGACCCTAAAAAATAAAGTAAAATAACAAAGCCAAATTTGCACAAACCCGTGAAAGAAGCCAAATCACTATGCTGATGGTGTATTCGATAAAATCCATCCCTCGAGTTCGTTTGCTTGCTCATGCCGGAACAAGCTCCACATCACCAGTTGCAACAGAAATCGTTTTCAGGGACAAGATAGCAGCACTGCGAGTCACGACCCATGTCAAATTGGTATCAAGTTTCTTCAAGTCTTGTCCTATTGCCGCTGGTTCAACCACCGCATTCGCGAACGTTTGTACATGTTTCAACCGACTACTAAGAATAGCGCCAATGCGACGCGAGGGCCACCAACTTGAAACCGTTCTCACAACAGCTTCGACGTCACGGAGCGGCCGTTTTCCCCTTCTCTTTCAACTGGGCCCGCCTCCGCCAAAGGAAAAGTACTGCTCCGATGCCCAGCAGCCCGCCAGATACGCCGCTGACCCCAATGAGAAACCCCGACGCGGTGGGAGGAATCACGTTGCCCGCCGTAGCTGATGATCCATTGCCGGCGGCTGTGGGGTTGACGGTCGATAATGTCGTAATTTTGGATGTAGCGTTTTGCTGAGCTGCCGTGACGGTGACTGTCTGGAGTATTGCCGTGATGGTCACTGTTGGCGGTGCAATTTTCAACGGACTGCTACTTGTTAGTCGATGAAGAGGTTGTGGGATGCGAATCGTGGGCTGAGGCACCTTGTTGTGAACGCCGTTGAAGATTGTGGCCGTGGTGATATGAATATGAATTTGGTAGGCGAACCGTCCTGGAGAGTCGGACTCTCCCGCGCTCCGGTTAGTTTTCCTGTTCGTCTACTTGAAGTAGTCGGAGATGGCGACAAGGTTCTCTGGCCAGGCGACCTCCGACCAACTTGGGCCTGGAAGCTGTGCAGCTTCAATGGAGGCGGAGGGCACTTTCTTTTCGCGCTGTTCATGGCGTCTGCAGTCCATAGTTCATCACGCTGTGAATGGGGGCGGATTTCGATTCCGTGACCAGGTATATAGCTTTTGCCGGCCGAAGATGCAAGTCATGACCGGTATTTGGCATCTGGTCCTCTGCAGGGATTGGCATTGATAAAACACGACTCCGCACGGATATGAAGAGAGTTTTTTCCCTTCCAATCCTGTAACATGGGCTCATTTCCAAATATAAAGGTCGATACCGACTTCTCGATGACAAACTCTATTCGTTTTATTGGACAGGCCAAGTGGTCGTGTCTCTACCTCTCAATGTCATTTTGATTGGGTCAAAATATGCCGTGGGTTCCTGAACAGGTCTTCTTTTTGCCGGGCGTTTGGCGAAGCTGTATCATCATTCTGATACCAGGACAGTTGGGTGCTTATAGTCGTGGAAACCACCCAACGACAGCCTGAAAAAAAAAAGCCTGTTTATTGCCTGCAATGTTGACCGTGACGTATGCCTCGGGGATTGTTTTATTTTGTCAAAAAAAAAAAAAGAAAGAAAAAGAAAGAAAAAGAAGAAAAAAAAAAAAAGAATGGCCGAGTGATGTGGCCAGGAACCAATTTGGGGACTGTTTAGGCGGACAGGATGCTCAGTTACACCAACACATGCGCCCGAAAGGGCAACCTATGTGAGGGTCATGCCGCCCTATGTCGAGAAGTGTGGCAGACAATGGTCGCTCCAATCTTCCATTGTCGACTTGTGCCTTTGCTAGTGGTTGTGGCTGCCGGGATCGGAGGAGGCGGCGATAAAGGAACGAGGGTCCAACGAGTCTTTGACATTGGAAGAAGGAGTTCCTGTGCGGGGTCTGGCCGCCAACGCATGCCGTAGTTATGCCTAGCAATTATCTGTAGTTGGGGGAATACGAGCGTGGGCATCAACTCAGCCCAACTAGTTGTTATACTATCCAGAGAGACACCTTGTGGCTGGCGATTCAACATCTTCATTTATCGCGTTGATGAAGATGACGGAGAGAGCCATACCACACCTGCGCAAGATTACGGTTGCTGCTAATACTCTGGAAGTCGACCGACTTACACGCCATGACACCCATCAGCTACAACCAGCGTCAGCAGCTCAACATGAAGCAACCCGGCCCTCAAATGCCTGCCACCGCATCGCCAAAAGAGCCCAAAATGCGTTCGTTGTAACCAGCCCACGTACATCTCACGGATATTGAGACTAAACTCTCCAGATGCTCCCGATGCCGTCGGCAAAAGATAAAATGCAGTGGAACTCGCCCTTGTGAGGCATGTAGCAAGCGAAGACTATCATGTCAGTATGACGATTACGGCCAAAAAGTATTAGTAACAAGAGGGTTTGTGGTCTCCCTTTTTTGCAATAACTGCAGCAACCACATATTCTGGTACAAACTGACCCATGTGTTCTGCAAAGGTATCTTGCCTCCCTCCAAGATCGGGCCGCGCAAATACACACAAGCGCTGATACGGCCAAGACTGCTGGCGAAGGCGACTTGACCTCCATGACACAAACCAACCAGAACGACTCACCCACATCTTGGAATTGTACGTCACTCTCAAGCCGATAACTTTGGACAAGAAACGACACTCACTGTGGATGAAAATACAGCAGCCAATGCCTCTCGACGCCCCCATGCTCAACCGAATGTCCAAGCAACAGAGCAGACCGAGTCTCACAACATTGCCGTCCAAGACGATCAGCTAGACCAGAGTATATCCGAGTCACCCGATGCTGCTCCTTTGACGAATCCATTATCCACAGGGCCGTCAACCTTTATGTTGTCCGACACAGGAAAAACCTGTGAGTAGCCAGGCTAAGCGTGTCAAAGGTGAATCGCCAATGCTGATACTAGCACCTAGTCTACTTGGGGCATTCGTCAAACTGGTCCTTCACCCGACGTATTTTGAGTATCACTTACGAGCATGTGCACCAGGTCTCTTTGCCATCTACGGCACTCATGTTCGACAGCAAAGTCTACATATTAGACTGGTCCAGCGCCTCGGCTCAACCGGTGCTGCCCAATCTTGACTATGCCATCCATCTGATTAACAATGTCAAGTTTCACTGCTCGCCAATGTACCATTTATTCGACGAGGAAGTCTTCTTAAACGCCCTGCATGCGCACTACAGCGGGGAGCAAACGCAGGGAGACCTGGTCCAACAGTTATGGTTCATCCAGTTCATGCTGATACTTGCGTTTGGAAAGGCACTCACCACCAAGCCAAACAAAAACAACCAGCCTCCCGGAGCGATCTTCTTCACGCACGCCATACACCTCCTGCCGAACATGACGGTTCTATGGGATGAGCCGGTGCAGGCTGCCGAGATTCTGTGCTGCATCGCATTGTACCTCCATTGCATCGAGCACCGCGGCTCGGCGTACAACTATGTGAGACTCGCCTCGCTGTTGTGTACGGCCAGGAAGCTGATATGACATAGATTGGTCAAGCCGTACGGCTGGCAATGAGCCATGGTCTTCACACGAATCTAAGCTCGCACCACGTTGAGAACGCACTTGTTCCAAGATGCCGCAAGATCTGGTGGACTATCCTTGTTCTCGACCGACAAATGACGTATCTGATGGGTTTGTCGCAGTCGATCCGGGACGATGATGTGACTGCGCCGTTGCCAGAGTTTGAAGGCGACCGCTTTCGCACTGCGGCGTTTGCTATGCGGACCAAGTTGTCGCATTTTATTGCGACAATAGACAGAGGTGTGTCGTGCGGCCCAGTCTCACGTTCATTTGGCTCAAGGCAGTCCCTGATCAACTTGGTCATGAAGCTATATACGGTCCCGACGGGAGGTTGAGCAGCAATTTCCTTCTCCGAACTAAAGATACGCTGGCAAGCATGGCAGGACTCCCGGATGAACTGCACCAGCGATTCCCCCTGGATCTCAATTGTAAAAGAGTTGGATTATCCCGGTTGTCGGCGCATATTCACCTGCTCTTCCACCAGGTTCGCTGTCCTTTTAGCTTATCCGCGCGGCAACACTGACGCTCGATGTTCCTAGTGTATTATTCTCGCGACACGACCGGTTTTATTTTGCTTCTACAAGATCCGTCTTGAGACTCCAAACTCGTATCAACACATTTTCAATTCCTCACACGCCGTCGAGAGCCTGTTGCGCATGTGTCTCGACTCATCACAACACGTAATTTCCATCCTGGAGTGCCTCCAGAGTGAAGGCCTAATTGGTACGCATGCCATTTCAACCTTGGACCTTTATAACCGAAAAGAAAAGACGTGAATTCTGAAAAATCCCATGTGCAGAAACATTTCTTTCCTACGATCTTGAGGCGCTTTTTATTTCCATGACGAATCTCCTGGCGGCACCAGTTCTGTACCTGGACTCGGGCTCAACCTGGACATCGTGGCGCCAGCGAGCGTACGCAATACTAGGCGAGATATCAAAATGCGGCAATTTGATTGCTCAGTATCAGCAGTATGAGCTTCAGCATCTCGAAAAGATGATTGACGGGCTCTGCATGACGGAAACAACGGAGCCCGCTCCGCCATCTCGCCATCATGCTACTGACGTATCGGCCGTGGCGAATGATACTCCCCTGGCGCACGGCGCGGGCTTTTCTGTTGCCGAAGATGCTTTGCCTAGCCCTGTGACTGATGATGTGCTGGATGGGAATTATACCGGAGCTGGGTTTTCCACAGCCCAGATCATGGACATGGTGAATTCTATTGATACCGAGCATGGCGAGTGGATGTCGCAGGCCTTCATGGAGGCATAGGCTGCGCACCATGTTGACAAAATAACAGAAACAAGCGTCTTCACCTGGTTATCTGTTGGAAACTATGGAACGTTGGCATCAACGCGGCACGCAGAACAGCATTGCTAGGACCGGGCTCATAGGCTAGGTTTTGTAGGCTCAATGCAAGAAAACTCCCTCGTCTCACCCACTCTCCAGCTCACCTCGTTTCCCCAATGAAGGATTGAACTGCCTGCTCTCGGGACTTTTCAGCGCCAATGGGCCTCATGCTGCTTGCCATCAGTCGCCTTTAGGACATCCGTCACCCACGATCCCGCAATGGGGAACATCTTGAAGCCGTGGCCCGAATCGCCCGACATGACAATGACCGAGGACAGCGTCCCGGGAACGTAGTCGATAATGTAGTCCGAGTCACTTGTGTCGGCTAACCAGCAGAGACACCTCTTGACCAGTGGTCGCTCTGCAAGCGCAGGCAAAGTATGGGCCAGTAGCCGCCGCAGCTTTCGCTCGTCGTCGCCGGGTATAGACTCCTGGACAAATCCCTCAAGGGCAGCGAGACGCCTGTTTTTGCGTCGGTATTAACAGTCCCGCCCCCCATGGGACACAGCTTGAGCAGATTGGTTCTGGGGTCGGGCTCGAAAAAGAAGCCCAGGTCGCGCGCGTATGTGACTGGTATGCCCTTCAGAGCGGATGCTTCCTCCGCCTCGTCTGTGAGTTGAACGTGTGCAACAGACCAGCATTTCGCCACAGCCTGGGAGCCAATTTCAGGAATGAGCCGAGACGCCCACGCGCCCATGGCGACGATGACGAGCTTGGTTGGGCAGAAGCTGCCGTCGACTGTCTTGACGCCGCGCGCGATTCTCCCAGCACCACTGGCTGACTCTGAAGGCGTCTCGTAGCTAATTTCAACTACTTTGCCGGAACCTAGACGAAACCTGACGCCCGTCTTGCAAAGATGGCCGTGTACCGCGGCCAGAGCATGTCCAGACTGCGCATAGCCGGCATATCGATTCAGATAGCTTCTCTGGCCGGTGAGCGGTCCGTCGTGAAATTGCCACACCTGATCGAGTATATCCTGTCCTGTATTCATGCCGACCAAGTGCCGCCGCAGTTCCTCATCTTCCTCGGCTCATGCATTAAACCGCTTCATCGTGGCAACGGCCTTTTCGGGAGCCGTCTTGGACACGCAGTGAAGGAATCCGGTCTGGTGGTAATACGGGGCGAAGAGCGGTGTTCTCCAAGCTGATATCGCTTTCTAGACATTGCCGAAGCAAAAGACAGCAGGTCTCAGTCTGACACCGGAAAACCTGCAACTCGGCCGCGATTGCTTACCAGTGCCAACTCTCTGTAGAATGCATCTTCATATTCGGCTCTTACTATCTTGTGGAGGCCGTTTGCGGCAGAATACCGAGCAGGCACCGCATCGTCCTTGCCCACCACAGTAATGTGCGTATAGCCGGCTCTTGAGAGGTGCAACGCCGTGGAAAGGCCAAAGGCACCAGCGCCAATCAGAATAGGGGTAGACTTTGCCATGTTTAACTCTTCAGCTTCAGTTCGACTTTGGTGGCTCCAAGTAGTCGACTACGTGATATGAATAACAGGCTGATTATGGGTATGATTGTGAGGTCTGGGCCTTTTCGTCCGGCTTAATGAACTGGACGCTCGACTGGCTTGCTACAATTTTGGAGCACGCATTAACTGTGCTTTTTATGAAAGTGTAATGAACGGGAACACATCCGTGGGTTTCTTTAAGGGGCTCTAGTTCCACGGCATAGCATCTTTACCTATGTATAATATACGTATATGGTCATGTACATTTAGTATAGTGCGTAATATCTAGATACCATAGACGTCGGAATTTGTTACAAAGTCCTATAGTCTATAGCATATTATGTTTCCTTATCAATAGTTTATGCTAACACACTACGATATGTTTTAGTATAGCCCATAATACTGGGGTTGACCGTTGAATACACTCTGCCTTGCACCGAGCTGCGGATTTAAAGCACATTATTGCTTCGCTAAAGATGGATCACGAAAAGCTGAAAATAGGGCCACTAAAAGCAACTTCTCGTTTCCGCCATCGGAGAAGCCGCGTAGCCTTGTTCTATGCTTGGCCGCAAGGCAAGTTAGGTGGCATTGGCAATCGCTGTAGTTCGGGTTCGCTCCCGTAGTTCATGACAACTCATCCCGGCCGAAAGTAGGTATGCCGTCATCAAAGGGCTGCAGCCATGGGAGTGCAACATTTTGCAAGGTCCGGAGTGAACTACACCCTAGAGAAAGTCCTCACAGATATCACATCTTTTCAGACAGAGCTGTCTTTATAGTTCCAAGCCTGTCCACGCCATGGGAGACAAGCAGGGCTCAAAGTTGTGCTTCATAGGAGGCGGTCAGTGCTACGAGGGCCGATGAATCCGGAAATTATACTTTCAATGCCCAGTGCCTCTTTCAACCATAGCGCTAACTGGGAAACCCCGAAATTAGGCAACCCAGGAACCTCAATTCTGAGTGGCTAGCTAAGTGCTTCAAACGAGAGCCAAGTAGGAACATCACAATTTCTCACTTCGTTGTCAGCGTGCGAACCGAAGCGTCCGTCACCAGAGTGCAGGAACAGTTCTGCCAGCATCGGGACAAACTACGCATCTACCACAACCAGAAAGAACTTGCAGTTGGCGAGTCTAATGTCATTATACTAGCGACGGACCCTGCCGATGTAAAGTCACTACTTACCAGTCAAGGTATGCGCGACAACTTGGCAGGGGAGCTGTCGCAGCGGGATGGACGAGGCAAAGACTTGAAAGCACGCTCTATGGCAGAGAAATTCCGGACGATATTGCGGGACTGGATTCTGCCAATCAACCTGGGTCATTCGCACCCTTCCCAACGTGGCCTCGGTGGTTCATCAAGGGCTAATTGTTATTGAGACGCCTCATCCCAGACTGCCAGCAAGCTACCTAGCACTCACCAGGGCGATTTTCGACCGTGTAGGAAAGACAATGGTTCTGTCCACAAGTCTGCTGGATGCAGCCACAGTGGTAGGCGGATCGACACCCGCCTTCTTCGCCATCATCTGCGAAGCTCTCATTGATGCTTCTGTTGCAGTGAGAGTTCCGCGCGACGTGGCTCATGCTAGTATCGCACAGGCTATGCTGCGCACAGCCGATATGCTACAAACGGGCATTCAACCTGCTGCTATCAAAGACAAAGGAACCTCTCCCGAGGGCTGTACAATGAGCGGCTTGGTCTTGGAAGAAATCGCCGTGAGAGGGCATGTTGGCCGGGCGCTTCGTGAGGCTGTCACGGTTGCTCGCCTGATGGGCACTCATGTACATTTAATGACACTAGAAAATGAACTCACAATGCTGTTCCTGGTTGCCTCTTTAAAAGGTTATGGGTTGCGCAATGTCTTTCCACGTATCATGCATATGTACGCCAATTTGCATTCCCAGAGCATCATCTTTCAAGTGCCGGTCTTTATTTGATCCCCCTGAAAAATAGAAGCATTTTGCAGAGTACCTAGTTATATCTGAGTGCCACCGTCGACAGACAGTCAAGTCTCGGCAGAAAAGCCGTGGTGCATTCCGAGGGTCTACTCATCGGGAGCGCTTCCGAGTGTTGTGCAACCGACCGTCGCCGAAGTCGTTTCCCGCATGTCTGTGTAAGCTACTAAAACTGGATGGAAAAGGTCGATCCAAGTTGGGAATTTCCGTAAACTGAACGGTCGGATATGGTGCAGGTAAGCTCGGTCTTTGCCCGTCTGTTCAGCAAGCAAGATCCTCCCCATCTCTTAGTCGCACTTGAGAATTGCACAGAAACACAAGACGCCAGCCATTTAATATCGATGTATAATCCAACGCTATGAGAAGGGCAATGGTAAGCTCGTCAATTATGGCTACACGGCTGGCGGCTCGCACCCGCCCGAAGTTGCTTCTCACGGCTTCCAGTCGGTCGACATGTCCCGTTCAGACGAGGACAAAGGTCACACTCCCCTTTCGACTGCCAGAGGAACGTAATGAGCCAAATGTAACGTCACCCCCAGACTGTGAGTCTTTCCGCAGATACGTTGGATTAACTTGGTTTGATTACAGCCCGTGTACCGAAGAGGCTTCGCAGGGCGGGCTGAAGTAGAAAAGGGAGTTGGCACGCCTGCGGGCTTCACTTCCTGCCAAAAGCGAGATATTCTACAATGCCCAGGCACAGGCAGCTCAAGATTCCGAGATGCAGGTCATGCCTGCAGAACCCAAGACGTTTTTCGCCAATTTCCCCCTGGCTTCCAAGGAGCAAGTGAATAATGCCATCAACTCAGCGCTTTTCGCCAAAAAAGAATGGCAAGAGATTCCCATTGTGGACAGGACCGCGGTATGCCTTAAGGCGGCGGAGCTTGTTTTAGGAAAGTAGCGATATGAGCTTATTGCAGTAACTATGCTAGGGCAGGGCAAGAAGTTTGGCAGACGGAAATAGATGCTACGGCTGAGCTTGCAGACTTTTTCCGATTGAACTTTCATTATGCCGCGGAACTACTTGCGAGACAGCCCACTCGTGGCGCAGATGGAGCTTGGACGTGTGTAAAACATGTGTAATCTTTGTTGTTGGCGTCGTACTGACATTTCCGTCTCAGACGAGTTGAGCATCGCCCGTTGGAGGGCTTTGTTTACGCCGTTTCTCCCTTTAACTTTACAGCCTTGGGTGGCACCCTCATTTCCGGTCTAGCTCTAATGGGTAATGTCGTGGTCTGGAAGTCTTCTCAGTACTGCATCTACCCTAGCACCATAATCTATAAGATACTGTTGGAGGCTGGTCTGCCAACGGACGTGATCTAAATGGTGCCATGTGACGCCGAGGAAGTGACGAGCACAGTCTTGGATCATTAGGGCTTTGTAGGAATCAACTTTATTGGATCATCCGATGTTCTCCGTTCAATCTATTCCAAGATTGGATAAGGCATTGGTAGCAGGAAGCACCGCGAGTTTCCTCGTCTTGTCGGAGAGACCAGCGGCAAGAATTTCCAGCTGATCCACTCATCTGGAGATATTCCAAGCGCAGTCAACCACGCAATCCGCGGCGCGTTCGAGTACCAAGGACAAAAGTGCTCGGCTACCTCGCGCGTATATGTCCCCGAGTGTCGGGCCCAGGAGTTCATTGCCGGTCTCAGAGCTAGGGCTAAAATGGAAACCATCGGGCGCCCTAACTAGGATTTCGAGGCCTTCATGGGCCCCGTCATCCACAAAGACTCATTCAAAAGATCGAGAATATCATTAACAAGAGCAATAAGGATCCCGCTTTGGAGCTGATCACGGGCGGTAAATGCGATGATTCCCAGGGGTACTATATCACACCAACCGTGTACGAAGCCCAGTCGCTCGACCACGAGCTGTTCAACAAGGAGATTTTCGCTGCCTTGCTTGCCATCCGTGTGTATCCCGACGCCGAATGGGGCGAAAACTTGCAAAGCGTTAACCAAAACGGCGGCGGATTTACTTAACTGGCGCCGTCTTTGCAAAGGATCGCAAGATCATCCGTCAGGTTGAGCATACCTTGCGCTATAGTGCAGGGAATTTCTACATCAGCAAGTCTGCTTTACAATTATATAACCGTGGACAAGTACGTCTTTTACTCTTTTCTATTGATAAGTCACCTCTGCTAGATTACAAAACCACGGCGGCCTTAATTGGCCAGCAGACGTTCGGGAGAGCTCGGTTAAGCGGTACAATGATAAGGCGGGAAGCTTCGATATCTTGCGGCCGTTTACGAGCCCGGGAAGTTGGAACCATCAAGGAGGAATTCCCTCCTCTGGGTGCGTTTACTTATCCAAGCAACGAGTCCGGCGGACGTAGCCCGGCTATAACATGACGAGGGCAGAGAAAACGGTCAAATAAAACTATGGTAATATTATGAACATGAAGTATAAAGGTCCTCTTGGTCCATCGGTTTTCTTCCAACTTTGTTTGAGACTGTAGTGACCGCCCCAGCATAGGCCCTCGTAGAGCAAGACGGTAACATGTTTGCACAGCAAGACGCAATCGATTTACAGACGCTGATGAATACCAGTATTACCTGCATTGGAAGAAAGCGTTCCTGGGCGACATTTACAGCAGATTCAGGCAAGTTCATCGGGCTCTGCCTTGCTCGGCGTCCCGATGCTACAGACTCGCATCACCTCCCTCTAGAAACTGACATCGTCCTTGAACATTTCTTCATAGACATCTATCCTCGGCTTTCCCGCACCGATCAGCTTCTTCTGGCTAGATAATTCTTATATAGCGTACTAGTTTCCAGGCTACGAACAGCAAGTTTGCAATCTCAGGCATGGCGTAGTGCGTAACAAACGCCTTGAGATCCCCGATGCCACGCAACAACCAATTGTATAGTGGGTGTAGACAACAACTTTGACCGCGATATGGCTGGAAGTAGCCATATTTTTGGGGTCTGCCATTGGCCAAGAAGATGTGCCCGTGTGGCGTAGTAAAAGCAAAGGTAGTTGTACAACGCAACTTAATTTGCAAGCCCAGTCGTCCAGGGTTGACGAACCAGCTTGACACCTTGGCTTCCTCCCGTTGACGGATTCAAGAGGATCTGATGATTCCGGAGTTGGGCACACGATTTGCCGATTGTCAAGAGCATGTTCGTCCGCAATCGTTCCATCACACACTCCTTCCTTTTAAACTACCATTCATTTTTCCCACATGTTTTGCGGACACAACATAACTAACGGCGAGGCCAATCAGGAATGTTGGTAAACCCTGCTACTACCGGCGTTGCACCAATTCTCGGCTCCGGGGGTACCCAGAACCTGTTATTCTCCTCTTGTGTAACTTGCCAAGAGGCGACCAACGTTGTCAACTAATGCTTTGAGACGACGGAACATTAACATATCGCACAATAGAGGCCTCTACGCCCTAGATTATAAAGTCTTTACCCCGCGTCAGACTACATATGTACTCTGGATTACCCCAGATTTTGACTTTTGGAGGGCCGGGCACGGATCCGATGGACGGAGTTCTGTTAAGTCGGTGTGGATGGTACGTGGCGCGCTACGGCAGTCTTTCCGACAGTCGGCAATTACACCCTCCGGCCCCCATGGCCTTTCTCGTTTGTCATAATTACCTAGCTGTTGAACCCGAGCGGTCCGTTCGAGGCCAGAAATGTCTCTCGAACCGTCTTTCTTCCCCGCATATCGGAGCATTCCACCGCAGGACCGCTTGTCGTCGCACGCACCTTGGCACTTATAGAGAGGGCCATGAGCATGTCGAGTATCCAATTTGAACGCCGCTTTCACCATGGGCCGGGGAGCCCCAGGTGAAGCATACAGGAATGTTTGATCCAGGCTAAGCCGCGCCCTTGTACTGCTCTCAGGCCGCATTATGACTATACAGCAGGGCAACAACATGTAAACTCAAGTAACCAAAGAACGGTGTGCGTAAAAGGCACAATGGTGCGTTATCAACACAAACATGGCCAGATCATTGGCTGCCAGGCGCAGCACCTACTAAACGGGGAACGTTTGAGACAACCATGTGTTGCACGATAAGGGGTCACGCGGTGCAGAACTCGGAGCATAGTGAGCATATAGCATACTACGGTAGTTGCACCACAGAGTTTCGGCTTGCAACCCGATAAGCCTCCTTCGTAAACATGGCGTTGAACACAGAGAGACACTACCAAGGCGGGGGTCGTGACCATCATTAAAGTTTGTCAGTCGCCTCGCGACATAGTAGCCAAAGCCTCGGCCAACCCAGATTCTTAACACATTCACTGAAGAGATGGCCGCTCTCCGACACGGGTACTATGCTCGCATAGCATATAGAGCACTGTCTACACAAGCATCGTCAAGAAGCAGCTCTCCAACACTTTCAGCCGACGGGAGGTTCTGCAGTCCCCCTATCGCCAAGTACGCGGAGAATGCGTCACCAGCCATTGTATCTGGAGCAGAGTCTCCTGCCCCTTTATCTGCCTTGCCCACAGGGGTCCTGTGTAGATCTCTGTTTGTAAACTCCATCTCTTCCAGACCATATCTTCTTAGTCAAGCCATCTCATTCATGGACTTCTTGACCCAGCCCAACAGGTCCTTCCTCTTTGACATCAACCGCAACAAACTACTTGCGTGGATCGTGAGAAGAGTGGCATACAGACACTTTTGCGCTGGGGAGTCAGGAAGCGAAGTCAGACAAACGCTGAAACGGTTCAAAACGATGGGTTTCCGAGGAACCATTGTCACATATGCGAGAGAGACCGTGTTTGACTGTAACAAAAAGGACGTCCAAGGCGTGGGAATCGAGTCGTTTGCAGGCAAAGCCACGGATCTGTGTCCAAACATACGGAGCTGGCGCAACGGTGTGCTGGAGACCATCGATATGCTGGGGCAAGGCGACCAACTGGCGGTCAAGTACGCACCATGATCTCTGAATTGCAGATACTCTTGACTAACTTGGCGTAATTGCTAGGTTTACCGGCGCCGGTCCCCTGGTGACGGATGCCCTCGCTGCTGGACAGCCACTCCCCAAGCAAATGTCAGATGCGTTGATAGCCATCAGCGACGAATGCAAACAGCGACAAGTGCGATTGTTAATAGATGCAGAGTCTCAGCTTTATCAACATGCAATTGCCAAAGCCGGGCTTGATCTGATGAAGCTGTACAACAGGGATGGCCACGCCCTCATATATAGCACATACCAAGCCTACCTGAAAAGCACGCCGCCGGCAATAGAATCTCATCTGATAGCCGCTCTGGAGGGAAAATTCACACTGGGCCTGAAGCTCGTGCGCGGTGCATATCTAGCTACGGAGAAGAGGTCCCTGATCCACGACACAAAAAGAGACACGGACAATGCCTACAACGCAATTGCTCACGGGGCGTTGTGCAAACACATTGGCAGCATTGGGGCCGAAGGCGGCCGCCCCTTTCCGTCCGTTAACCTGATGCTATGCGGCCACAACAAAGAGAGTGTATTTGGCTCCTACGCGCTGCACCAGCAGCGTCTGTTGCACGGCTTGCCAACCGTGCCTCTCGGGTTTGCCCAACTACAAGGCATGTCGGATGAGATCAGCTTCGGGTTGCTCCAGCTTGGCCAGAGGCAGGGACCCGGACCAGACGTCTACAAGTGCTCGACCTGGGGCACGTTGAAGGAGTGTCTTGGGTACCTCACGCGGCGGGCTCTTGAGAATAGAGACGCCGCGGGAAGAACGGTGGATGAATACAGGGCATTGAAGATGGAAGCGAAGAGAAGACTTAGGTCGCTCATTCCCCTCTGAGAGGTGACCTTTATCAGAGCGATATGTCAGCAGGCTCTATAGCATCATAGGAAATTGCGTACCGCTTAAAGTTGATTTGGTTGCTTCCGGTGACTCTATTTCTTTCGCAGTGTGTGTACGGCAAGCTCAATCCCATGTCCTCTTTTTACATCCCCGAAATGAGGAAAATCCTAACACCCAGCATGAAAGAGCGTATTTTCATCCTCAAGCTGTCTCTCCAGCCATCAAGGCCAGTCCATACGCTTAGCATCCACCCCTGCATCGGACTCCTTCGACTAGGTATTAAACTTTTCAAAGACACGCATTTGTTTCGACGGCCTGCTCTTCACGCCACATTACTGGTGACGGATGGATTCAGCTCCAGCATGTACGGCTTCTAGAATTGTGTCGCAGAAAGAGTGGTAGTATGGCTTGGTCTGTTTTGTTCGAATTGATGTTCATAATGCAGACTTCTCACCGCCCATCGCCGAACAATCACCTTTCTTTGATCCTTTCACACCATGATAAAAGAACCGAACGGCCTTGCCCTTGGAGCTACCGTTGACATCAACACCTACTTCGTTGATGTCATGTCAATTCCTTCATGACTTGCTGCCACGTGAACAATGCTGATGCTCCCTTCTGTTTCTCATCAAACACAGAATCTTGGAGGGCCACCTCAGGGCCCTTCCAGGCCGCTATCTCATTGTGACGCCATAAAATAGAACTCTAAGCAGTGAGAGCCAAGGCCGTTAGAATTAACAATTTCGCAACATAAGGGAGAGAGCAAATCTGTGTGTCTTGTATACCCTGAAAACAGTGCTCTAATTTGCCGATCAGGCGAGTCGCCAGGCGCATATCCAGAGCAGGAAGAGTGAGCGTGCTCCCAATCACCACAGGAAGCTGTAGAGGATTCGTTCACTGTGTCCTGCAAAACCCTCGTTGTCGCAAGCTGAAACCACACAAGGCGGAACACAATGCCACGTTGACCCTGGCGCGTCTCGTGCGGTATGTAGTCTTGTAGGGTAATATTTTGCCCTAATGCGACTGCGAGTTGTGGAGCTTAGGTCTGGTCCCGGTGTTTCTCTTCCCAGGCCGTAGCTCGTACATATAACTGACGCATCACCACAGTACCGTAAATGTCTCAACGGAACATGTCTAAAAGCCGCTGTACGGGCCAAGCATGGGTATCTCGGTACTTCTCCACCACCATCCTGATTGCCCGGCGCTCATACTGGTCTGTGAAGAAATCCCCGTATAACTGGATTCCAAACGTAGCATGAACAAGAGCAGGCGGCGACGCAGGGTTGCAAAGGCCGATCCCGCACTGCTCGAGTAAAAGGAGTCTCACGTCATTTTCGACGTGTCTCCAACTAGATCGAGAAACTGCATGTGCTCTGAAGGCTATTAGTCAACGAGTGAGTAATAAACCAGTCGACCCGAGCTTACCTAAGTTGAGGATTCTCGGCCACCAGTACTGATTTGGCTAAGAGACCAAGCTGCATGCTTGTCACTTCAATATTAGATCGATACCAAACAGTGGGAAAGATCTCGCCTTTGGACTTGTCAGCTGGCTTCTTGTAAATGGGTTCAATATCGAAGAGAATATTCTTCTCAAGATGTTCGTGCTGATCCATCAGTCTCGCTAGCGAATGATTAGCATGAATATCATGTCGGCAACAAAGCAGATGGTAGCACTCACCCCATTCATATTCAGAGCCATCTCCCCACTTCCATTTTGCTACTTGAACTAGATGCATTACAGTCTTGTTTGCTCTGGAGGCACTGTGCCAAAACTCCGGGGGTAAAATCAGCTGAGGAGCTTCAAGGCGTGTAAAGGAATGGTAGATTTCTTGTCTTAGAGCCATCCAATAAGCTGCTTGCATCAAACTGCGACGGCCGAAGACAGATTGCGACGGCGGGCTTCGCAAGACAGCGTCTATGATAGCAAGAAAGTTAACTTGCTTCCCGCACCCCGATAGCATGCTTCGTGGCTGTCCCGAGAGGGACGGCGAATCGTCTTCATTATCGATTTCCTCCAACTGCCGTAGGATAACGGCGGTGGGCAAGGAAATATT